TGAGGATGACCACCCATCGTTGGTGACCGACGCCCGCGCTCATTGATGAACTTTAGACTTCGCTAATGCTTTCGTTTCCCCGGGTGTAAATAGCCGGGGGGAATTAGTACCCTCGCACGGCGCTTCGCGCCGCCGGCTCGGGGATCAAATGCATTAATTATCAATTATTTTAGTTGATATAACGTAATTGTTAAGTAATGATTACACGAGTTACTAGAATATTATTCGGAAATCTTAGTAGTGTATACTACATGCATGCCATACATTTATTTCGGGATGGAGAGATATATTGATGTTAAATCCGCATTTGTTAAGTGTACCAAACAGTTAGAATAGTCTATTTCGTTTTGCCTTTGGGGGAATTTTCTTTCATATATTCATTCATTACACATTTTTACCAAAATAGGAAGTTCTGCAGAAGTATGGATATGAAGAGCAAATTAGCCGGTAGACTGTGTTTGGATAGACGTCGTTTGGAAGAAGCCTTCTTACTTTATGCTATTTTGAAAACTCATTTCAAATACGACCTAGGACTCCGTCATATTAATCATGATCGAAATAACTTACTGCGTAATGTATATACACTGTAAATCTGGGAGTGTTACCACAACACGTACCGAAATCGGTGTAAATTCTTGCAGCTGTGTGGACACCGATTTAGTGTTTACTTACACTCATTTTGGTGTTAAAATATACCTTTTCAGTGTTAAATAGATGCAGCTGTGTGAACACCGAATTGGTGTAAATCTACACTACGAGTGTAAAATAACACCTCCGAAGATCTTTTCACACTCTTTTGGTGTAAATAGCTTGCAGCTGTGTGAACACCGGGTAAGCTGTAAAACATGGAATCTGGAATCTGGAATCTTGGAATCCTGGAATCTTGGAATCCTGGAATCTTGGAATCCTGGAATCTTATCATATAACCGCAGAATATGTTATTATCAAGATATTATTATTATACTTATGCAACATATTGTTCTGCATGCGATAATTTAATACTTAGCTACAGAAGCAGACCTTGGTAATATATTATCAGTATATACTATATACGTTGCAGAATTTAATATCTCCATCTTGATGCCAATACATAATAATATAAACGATGTGCGCGCATCTAAATAATGCCGTCGGTTTATGAGTGCGTAGCAAGATCAGTGACCAGGCGGGAGGCAACTAAATTACATTATATATATCATTGCAATCAGGAAAAACTCAATTAATTAGATGCACTATAACACCTCGTATTCCGTCAAAAAATACCACACTTGCGAACAATTGCCGAGTTCATATAGTGTTGAGTTCGTTGTAGTTGTCATTATTATATAATTGTCATTCTTTATTACAAGAGATACACACTCTGTGGAAGCATACAAGAACTAAGTTTTATTTTACATCAAGTGCGTTTATGTTACGATGTGCTAAAATACAATTGGTCAGAATAATTATTAATCATGCTATATATGGTATTACAGAAAATATATTGTATTCAATGTCTTAATCATATCATTGGTTAACTGAACTAAAATCACAACTAATTACATTATTATTATATGAAGTATTATGAGCATAACTTAACACCCCCACTTGCTCTTATGCTGAATGATACTTACCTGACATAAATAGTCCAAACTTATCTAACTTGACTTTACTAACTGGCTTTGTAAAGATATCTGCTACATTCTCGTCCGTTGGAATATATGCTAATACTATACTACCTGTTCGAACTTCACTTCGAATGAAATGATACTTCACATCGATATGTTTTGATCTTTTATGGTACATAGGGTTCTTAGCTAAATTGATTGCACCTTGGTTGTCACCATTTACCAGAACACTATAACTTACCTGAACAACTTTTAGATCAACACACAACTGCGTTAAGAACTTGGCTTCCTGCACTGCATCTGTCAGTGCGATATACTCTGCCTCACATGTGGACAGTGCAACAGTTGGCTGTTTTCGACTTCTCCAAGAAACTAAAGGACCCACGTCCAACAACTGAAAACCGTAGCCAGATATGCTACGCCTGTCAAACATCACCTCCCCAATCTGAGTCACAAAACCCAATAAGTTTTAGAGTACTCTCAGATTTCCTGAATCTCAATCTTTGCTCAATTGTTCCTTTCAAATACCTTAGAACATGTTTTTCAGCAATAAGTATCGCTCTATAAAGAGTTGGATCTTTTAATTCAGGTGATTTCGTATCCACAACCTTATCTAAACCTAGTACCGTTGGGGTCACCTTTGGCTTTCATTCTGCCATGCCAAACCTTAACAGCAATTTCTCAATATATTGCTTTTGGCTCATTTCAATTGCACCTTCAGAACACTTGAATTCTGTGCCTAGGAACCATGACAATACCCCTAGGTCCTTCATTCTAAATTTATTACTTAAAGAATCTTTCACACTCTGCAAAAGAATTTCATGGCTAGCGGAAATTATGAGATCATCAACCCAAGGTCCCAAATGATGATAATTGTACATTCATTTGTACCACCATTTCTAATGTAAACACATGGGTCAGCAAGTGATTGAGTGAAGCTCTCCTTCATAAGGTAATCATGTAGCATGTTGTTCCAATTGCGTCCACTCTGCTTAAGACCGTACAAAGACGTATTTAATTTGCACACCAACCTCTCACCATTTTGTCCTACCCTTTCGTAGCCTTTTGGCTGTTCTATGAAAATCTCACAGTCTATTGGGGCATTTAAATAGGCTGTTTTTACGTCCATCTGATGAACAAGCATATTATTCTGAATTGCCTGCTGTAATAAAACACGAATAGAGCTCATCCGAGCGGTTGGGGAAAAGGTTTCATGGTAATCAATACCAGGAATCTGCGAGTAGCCTTTTGCTACATAACGAGCTTTGTATGTTTCAGCCTTATCTGGTCCTGTCTTAACGGTATACACCCATTTCCCCCCCCCCCACTACCTCACGGCCCTTTGGGGGTGGAACCAACTCGAAAGTTTCATTGCCCTCTAAGGCCTCAATTTCATCATCCATGGCTTTTTCCCATTTATTTCTTTCAGGAGAATGTACTGCTTGGGAATAGCTAGTTTGGTAATAGCTTGGGAATGTCATGGGTTCTATAGCAATAATAAACTGCAGATGTTGCTGCATCATCAACAACCTTACCAGTTACATATTCATTCAAATATGTTGGCTTAGTACGAGTTCGACTAGGGTACCGTACTTCATCATGCACAGTTTCAGTGCCATTTGCACTTTCATCCCCTTGTGTTGATATTACACTCTCATTGGCAATAGGTACAGACACTTTACTGGGCAGAAATTCCCCTTCCTGTTCGTCAGGATTAACCTTAGATTCATGCTTGCTCTCATTGAAAAATTTCACACACCTTACACGTTCAACCTTATTGGAATCAGGATAAAAGACAGGATATGCAGGACTTCTTTTATTATGTCCCACAAATATACCCTGTTTACTTCTAGGATCTAATTTCTTTGCATTTTGCACATATGCGTAACAAACGGAACCAAAGACATGCATATTGCTCAAATCTGGTTTAGACCCTGTAAATGCCTCATAAGGAGTTTTGCCCAATCTCGCATTGAAGCAACGATTTCTGATGTAGGCTGTTGCCATAACAGCATAAGTCCATATGGACTTTGGCAAGTTTGCCTCAAGCAACAAACATCTAGCCATATTAAAAAGACTCAACCATGCTCTTTCCACCGTTCCATTCTGATGTGGGGAATATGGTGCACTAGTCTCATGCCTTATCCTATTTTCTCGAAGAAAGATTTGAATTGATGACTAGTGAATTCTGTGCCCTTGTCACTCCTGACACGCTTAACCCTCCCAAAAGGAGCAGCATCGGCCAAATATTGCTGTAATGCTTCTGAAGTATCACTCTTACATTTTAGAAAATAGACCATAATAATCCCTGAATGGTCATCAACGAATGACAAAGCATACTTAAAGCCATCTCTTCCTACAGGATCAATAGGACCAGCCAGGTCACAATGCACAAAATCTAATGGAGCAGTTGCTCTTTCATCTGGGGATCTATTCCTAAATTGGCACATCTTACCTTTAGTGCAAACAGTACACTCTATTTCATCATAGTTGGAAATATTCATCCCCTCTACAACATTTTCCAATTTCTGAACATCACCATAATTACAGTGACCAAGGATTTTATGCCATTCATGCAGAGAACATGCACTATTCTTAGAGGATGAAATACTATTTAAATAATATAACCTACCTTTTTGTTCCATTCCAAACGTTGTGCCATCAGGACATTTGAGCTGTTTCACCTGCTTATCTAAACTAATACTGGTCCCTCTTTCTATCGCAGCATGCACTGAAAAAATATTTTTATCATAGGATGGAACATACAATGCGCTATTTAACATTACTTCATGTGCATTACAATTGACGTCATAAAGTTTAACTTTGGCATTTCCTTTTCCTAATACTACGTTGGCTTTACTGCCATCAGCGAGTTCTATGACATGCGCACTAGGATTAAATTCTTTATCAAAGTCCACAAATTTTGATTTGTCATTTATAATGTGACTTGTGGCTCCAGTATCTACTAATAAACTAGAATTACTCTTATTATTTATACCTGATATATTAATTGTGTCCTTGGATGTAAAGGCAAACGTATGTTCATTGTTCTCACTTGACGTTGTCTTCTCGGCTGCTGTCTTCGCCGCATCTTTCTTCTTCCGGCAATTCTTTGTCTCGTGGGTTTTACTTTTACAGTTGCTACACCATCTTTCCGATGTCTTCGACCAACACTCCACGCTTTTATGTCCCTTTCTCCCGCATTTAAAACAGTTCCCATCGAACTTTTGCTTCGTCAACATAATATTCTCCCCCGCGCTGGCAGCCTTCCCACCATGTATCTTTGCGCTTTCCTCGTGGCTTCTTAGCGCGCTCTTGAATTCGGCGAAAGTCATTTGTTTCTCTCTTTGCACAACTACCGTGGCAAACATGTCGTATTCCCTCGGTAAGCCTTTCAAAACCATCGCGATTAACAATGCGTCGCTGATAGCTTCCTCGGCATTTCGTAACGCTGTCGCAAATAACTCGGCTCGTATGACATAATCGACTATTGGCTCGTTCTCTTCTTTCTTTAGCGATGTCAGTTCAGTATAAAGCGAAATTATATGTGGCTTTCCCTTCCCTTGGTAGTGCTGTCTGAGAACTTCTAGCGCTTTCCTCCCGTCGTCTCTCGCGTCTCGTAGCACTAGCGATAAACTTCTATCGTCCAACATTGCACGAGTTAGGCAAAAGCATCCGCTTGCGTCTCGCACGAATACTTTATATAGCTTTTGTAGCCGCATATAGCCCAGGAACTTTACTTCCCACAACTCATATTTGCTTTCGTTACCGTCGAATAGCAAGCCTCTTCTGGGCCCATAACCTGTTGAGTTCGTTGTAGTTGTCATTATTATATAATTGTCATTCTTTATTACAAGAGATACACACTCTGTGGAAGCATACAAGAACTAAGTTTTATTTTACATCAAGTGCGTTTATGTTACGATGTGCTAAATTACAATTAGTCAGAATAATTATTAATCATGCTATATATGGTATTACAGGAAATATATTGTATTCATTGTCTTAATCATATCATTGGTTAACTGAACTAAAATCACAACTAATTACATTATTATTATATGAAGTATTATGAGCATAACTTAACATATAGTCTATATTCATTAAGGTTATGTCTTATGTTATAAGAAATAAGCCGCCACCCCGCTTTGACTCCTCCTCTACACTGGTAATCAAGTTCTATATTATTGATGATCGATTTCATGTATGCATGGGTGCATTGTATGTTTGAATTTCGCCGAAAGAGCGCTAGATTAACGCACTGCCGCTACAACATTGCCAGTTGAAAAACCACGTGCTATATAACTCACTCACATAGCAAGACTATGCATGAGCCTCATTAACCACGTACTATATAACCTTAATTCGTTGAATATAGACTATATGAACACGGCAATTGTTCGCAAGTGTGCTATTTTTTTACGGAATACGAGGTGTTTTAGTGCATCTAATTGATAATTGAGGTTTTCCTGATTGCAATGGTCATATCTTGCTACGCACTTGATTTTAACTTTTATTTAGATGCGCGCACAGCAGAAGCAGACCTTGGTAATATATTATCGGTATATACTATACGTTGCAGAATTTAATATCTCCATCTTGATGCCAATTCATAATAATATAAACGCTGTGCGCGCATCTAAATAATGCCGTCGGTTTATTAGTGATTCCAGGATTCCAGGATTCCAAGATTCCAAGATTCCAGGATTCCAAGATTCCAAGATTCCAGATTCCATGTTTTACAGCTTACCCTAAAATGTCATAACATATGTAGGTTAATATTCGGACTGAAATTAAACTTATTACATGTTTGATCTCACACTGTGTTTGAGCAGTTTCTCCTGGATTGATGACATCGCATAGCGTTAATTGTTGGTGGGTACTGCTGCACCCGCTTCATGAAAAATGCAAACTCAGTTTGCAAATCCCGCTGGTTTTCAAAACGTGCGGCGAGGATATGCAGAATAGTACTGATAGTTTCGAATACATATTTTTAACGAAACAATACTTAAAATGTACAAATTTTAATATATTCTTTGCCAAAATACACATGTAGTAACTACTGTATAAGATGTACAACAAAGTGCATTATAAAAACGATTTAAAAAAAAGTAAATTTACATTGCTATACGTTTCATTCTCCATACTTTTATAAACGTACTAACACGTGTTTGAAGTTGCGAAGAAGTAAACATGAATCGGAGTTGTTCGGAAATTACCAGAACATTCGGAAACGCCACTGTATAAATAACTCGAAGTTTAACTCGAACTCGTATCCAACTCGATGTTTCGGGATTCCCTACAACCGATCAAAGATCGTCGCGACGGCGCTATTATTTCTGTAAAAGGTTGATTTTTGTTAGTGCAGTGTGCCGGAATTTATTAGTTATTCTGTTGAACGCTAGGCGGTTTTCAAGTAATCTTAATGTATAATTTCTCACATTTTATTCAATATTTTGTAAAGTTATCTTTTGTAGTATATTTATAGCGTGTTACTATATTTAGAGCGTGATGTTGTTTTTTTACAACTGGCTCGCATTTTACCAGCAGTGGCAAGCATTTACCCATGCGCACAACAACAAGAACTTGTCAAACTTGTTTTACCGGTTGAGAATTTAATGTATTCGTCCATGAATCTGGACGGCGGCTACATGAAACGATCGTTCGTTTGCTCGCAGTGGTTTCTCCTCAGCTCAGCTAGAAACCACTGCATGCTAGCAGGGTAAATTTTAACAGACTGAACTAACACAATTCAAGAACATGCCCAACCTCGTACCCAGGATCCCACAGAAAGCTATTAAAATTTATTGGCTATTAAAATTTAGTTGGCTTCGCGCCTTCTCTCGCCTTCGCCCTTTCCCGCCTGCGTTCCTTCGCCCAGCGGCTCGCTCGTGTTCCAAGACCCGCCATGTAAAGTGTAGTGAAATGTATCTCAATACTGATCGCAATCATAGCCAACAGAAGCCTCTGCGGAAGAGAGAGGGGTCATCAAGCTTGGCTTGCATGGCAATCTGATAACTTTGCAGTATTTCCTGTACTGCTCTCATCTGTCCAATATTAGGCGAATATAATAATTTATAATCAATAAAGGTTTGAAAGTTATAAACAATGAAACATTAAAGCATGTACCCAGGGCTACTGCCGTTGATGCACCAGGCATGTCCCAACCTCGTAGGAGAGAGTGATCTGACCCCCTATCCCCCAGGATTGTGAATAACTCAACTTTTGATAATTTAACATAACACAGATTAACATTGAGTTGAGGTGAGTTGAGTTGGGGGCGGTGTGGTGGCGTAGTGTAATATTTTGTAAGAAGTATTTATCACGGACCGGGTATATAAAATTTTCTAAAAAAAAAATTCGTATGTCCAAAATGATTGACAAAAGAAGATGTTTATATTTCTTCGTTTAAATTAATCAACAAAAAATTGCTTTTTGCAATGTAATTTAAAGTGTTAATCATTTTGGATAATGATCTAACATATACGTATACATATGAATTTATCACTTGTATATTATCATATATTGCAGATGATTACTTATGGGACAGACAAAGATCAGTAACGCCGTCTCGAAAAACTTTCAGCTTAATTGCAACATGATTGTACTGTTCGATTGACTAATGGAATTTTTTTATGTATATTGATAAATCTTGAATCTTAAACAGATGTGGCAATTGCTTTATTCGCTAACTAACTCTAGCTATATTACCCTGAAATTTTATATCAACATTACTACTGTACGGCGCATTTAGGCAAGCCTGACCATCAGAGAGAGCTAAATTAAATATCATGTCAGCAAAATAGGTAACATGCACAAATATAATATATCCGACCAAACTGACCAAATATTATTTTTAATTGTGAACAATAGGTAAATGAGATTTTACCTGATGAGCACCTGAGCAAACGAAGACAGAATAAACATCACTGAGTTATGAGTATAAAAAAATACACAAGACGCATTTGAACTGCCGTGCTTCAAAGATACTGGAAATAAAGTGATCGTGGTGAGTTAAAGTTTTTGTTGCTCTTGAAGATATATACAGTCTACAATGAAGATATATACAGTATATAATATATATATATATATATATATATATATATATATATATATATATATATATATATATATATAGGCTTTTAAAAGTTGAAGGCGATCTTTCCGAAAGATGGGATAGACAAAACCTGACAATTTAGATCTCGTGTAAGGTTTTGTTTTGTCAATACAAGCTGTTCAAATTCCCGAGTCCAAACAAGTTAAATTTAGCAGCGTGATTGAGGTGAAGAATGAGAAGGTTTGAACATTCAATTCGAATGGATGATATTATCTAAGAGAGCATGGGAGGAACCTATAGGCTATATAAGGAAGAGATCGTTACAATCCTACAATCGGTCAAAACGCGGGGATGTCTACAAAGACTGTTTTTCTAATCTTCATTCCATTCATTTCAGATTCACTGAACCAAAATGCCGTATTTCCAAGGGGCGTTCGAGAAACGCTGTCTCACAACTGGAGCTCCTTCACTCCTCGCATTCTTCACACTGTCCCTGTCTATCCTTTTTTTGATGACAAATATCCCTGGTAACCTCTTAGTGATCCTAGCTGTCCTACGTGATCCTTATAAAAATCTACGTAGTCCATTCAATATCCTGATGACAAACCTAAGTACAGCTGATTTGATTGTAGGGGCTATAGTTTGTCCACTGTCGATTCATTTCCATCTTATGGAAGCACTAAGAGAGAGTATTTCGATAACAGAGATCAGGATATTTCATCTCTCATATTTTATAGCATCTACGGCATCTGTCCTGAGTCTGGCTTCGCTGGCTATTGAGAGGTATGTCGCTATAAGGTAAGCATATCTCGGTTGTGATAGAACTTTAAAACTTTTACGAAAAATTTGAGAACTGTCACTCCTATCGCCCTCCTTAGCAAACCAGGAGAGTAGTTTCCCGCTCACTTGCTCAGTTTATGCAAAATGCAATGTCTGAGCTGCGTGTTTGCGTCTGGCGTGTGCGAACTTGGTCGGAACATCAGTAACTAAGATACCGTTCAATTATACCATACCCATTTCACATTTCTTTTGGTAACTCACATACTGTACAACAGATTAAAACAACCAAAAATTGGTTATCTCAGATTGAAAATGAATGGGACAATCAATTTCAATCACGTACTCTAACAATCAATTGTTTAACCAATTTGTTTTTAGAGTGCATGATTAGTAACTATTGTTCTAGTTCATGGAATAGAAGGTGAATGAGTAGTAGAATAAAGTCACTCTAATGTGAAAAGGGAAAAGCTTTGGTCATGTTTTCGCTCGCTACTCTGGTTTTAATAAATACTGAGCGAAAACATGACTGATATTATACATGGTTGCCGTGAACTCACAAACATTAAAGCTTAAACTGTTAAAGTTTATATTACTTTCTTCGATCTGTATAGGTATCCTCATACCTATAGGGACAAACTAACCGGAAAAAGAATCCTTGGAACAGTGACCTCTATTTGGTTCATCTCACTAACCCTGCCTTGTGCATACTTCGAGGTTGGCTTCATAACCTATATGCTTTTATCTTCGCCAATACTTCAGTAATCCTAGCCACTGGTATAATCTGCTTCATCTACGTTGTGATGGTCAATACATTTCGGAAACGCTCGGTGAAGGATCGTGATAATTCCAATGCGACGACCTCCGATAATGGCTCAGAAATGGTCAGCGGTAAACGTCAGGCGGGCTCAGAAATTACCAGCGGTAAACGACGTGAAACTACGGCCCGTTTGGAACATATAGTATTACGAAAATGTTTCTGGTTGTTATGGCAGCGGTATTAGGGTGTTACGGACCTAGTACCATTCTAATCTACACTATGAGTTTTTGTGAGAGTTGCAGTTGTGCCGTGTTGCATTGGTGTAGAGATTTGCAGTTTTTGTTTGCCATTATGAACTCCAGTTTGAATTTCTTTTGTTATGCTCTAAGATCACCTAGGTTTAAGCAAGCATTTGGTTATATTTTGAAATGGCAGTGAACTTCTGCCGTTCTTAGCTAGGTACGAGCTTGAAGTAAAGCAGAACTAATATTTCGTAGATTAGATGGTGTACAATGAACCGTAAGTGAATCACTATTAATAATAATAGTGAGTAATAATAATAATAATTATTATAAATAATAATAATCACGTAATTTGGGAACGGCAAACGGCATGCAGGTTCGAACTTTCTTGGCAAAATTTTTGTTGAACGTTTTCGTTTCATATTTTCTTTCTTGCGTCGAAAGAATAATTATGTATTTCAGTTTTAAAACAGTAAGTTTAGTTACTCTTTATTGCCTGATACGATAAAATTTTTCTTCGCCTGGCGTTTGAAGTATAACGCGAAGCTTAAACTCTCTATTAAATCGCAAACGAAACGCAACTAAGTACGACTGACGCGCGCAATGCGCAAACTAAACTTTCTTTAGAAGCAACTGAGATTTTGTGTGTAACGCTGGCGGTTTACTTATAGAGTCCTAAGATAATGACAGAGTTATTGCACACTATTCTTAATAATCGCTTGTGTTTGTTAGGTATTCGCGCCCGTCCCCTGTACCGAGTCAGTATATATATATATATATATATATATATATATATATATATATATATATATATATATATATATATATATATATATATATATATATATATATATAGGACAAGGACAAGTTAGGATGGGGATGTGTCACACAAAAAATATTATAAAAGTGACAAGTAAGTCATATCTCGAGATGACTTACTTGTCACTTTTATAATATTTTTGTGTGTCCCACATCCGCATCCTAACTTGTCCTTATATAAATATCTGGATGTGCAGCTCCTCCATTAGCTACGCTGTGCTGATGAGCCCCAACAGGGCGAAACAGCTGTCCACAGCTGCTAATGTGAGCAGGACACACTAAAATCATAGTCCGTTCATGGCTCTTTACGCTGCTTCGTCTGATGATCGCCAATATAGGCGTGAAACTCGAGTAAATGAACTTAATTTTTAAATTTTTTTGATGTATAGTTGAAGTTCACATTCCAATATATATATATATATATATATATATATATATATATATATATATATATATATATATATATATATATATATATATATATATATATATATATATATATATAAACGGGTTGTTTTTCGTTGAAAGACTAAAAAGAGTGCTCAATACTACTGATAAACAGTACAGTAGAGCTATGTAATTAACGTTACAAATATCTTAAAATAACATGTTTTTTCGCTACTCTGAGTTTCACGATCTTGTCTGATCGATCTTCAGGCGATTTATGTCCGTTTAATTAGTTTGTTTGATTTCGTGATTTTCGTTGACGCACGCGCTTGCATGCGATGAAAACTTCCAGCTTGGAACCGATCTTTATGGCGACATTTTCCGAAGATTTCCGATCGTTTATTAAGTAACGTTTTCTGGACATAAATGGAACATAAATTAAACGGACATAAATCGCCTGAAGATCGATCAGACAAGATCGTGAAACTCAGAGTAGCGAAAAAACATGTTATTTTAAGATATTTGTAACGTTAATTATATATATATATATATATATATATATATATATATATATATATATATATATATATATATATATATATATATATAATTATATATAGCTTAAGTTTTTGGTTTACGAAACACAAACAGTGCTCAATACCATATAGATAGAGCGTAATATAGTATTTCGTTTTACCTCAAAAAAACCGCAACAGTCTGTTTCATCCGTATAGGAATCATCAGATGGTGTGTAACGTATAGTGAAGAGAGTGCTCAATACATAAAATTTCGTAGAGAGAATGTAATTACTATTCTCACTTAAAAATTTTTTGTGTCTACTCCGAGTTTCACGCATTACTGCGATCATCAGGAGACATTGTTCTCAAATACCGTTCTATATACGTATTGTTCTCAAATACCGTTCTATATCATATTATATATATATATATATATATATATATATATATATATATATATATATATATATATATAATATGATATCTATATGATATCTATATCTATATGATATCTATATCTATATGATATCTATATCTATATGATATCATGCAAGCACTCTTTGGCATTTCGTGAAGCCTGTATTTACACTGGCAAGAAAAGTACTCTTCTAGTTAACATTCATTCTATTTGTTAATGGAACAATTGCTCTCCAGCCAGCTAACTGAGCTAAGAATTAAGATTAGACACATACAGCTTTTGTGTGGGAGAAAGGGTTATGGGGGTGAAGTACTCCTGTTACAATAAGTGTCACATTATATGTATATTTAACCCAATAGACTCTTTATGGCCTTATATTTCATCCTGCGGGGTATATATAAGGCCCGCTCTGATAACCCTAGGGCTGCCCTGGGGGTAAGGGTCCCCAGAGCACATGCCAGAAGGGTAGCGACCCCCTCTGACCTTATTAACCTGAACCAAGGGGTAATTAAGGGTCCCTTGGACAGTTCCTATAACTCGGCCGATTATATTTACATTGAATAAGTCTATGGGCATGAAGGTGACCTTTGGGAGCACTTCAACCCCACAAATACAATAAAGTACCCCACAAATACAATAAAGTGTATCTGACACTTGAGTGTATTCCCCATAGACGAACAATCCCACTCCCACAACAGCTGTATTCATATAGAGAACAGCTTTTGCCAGATGATAGTAAGGCTTGTACATGTTTGAGAATTACCATCGCTTATACTACAGCTGGATATAGTCAGGGAGGCCAGGAAAAACCTGCAATACAGGAAACCTGAATGGGGCCAAGACAATTAACCAGCAGCTTCCCCACAAAGCTTCTATGTTACAACTTCTCAATAGGAGCGTTGGTAACGCGACAAACAAAGCTCTATCTCGGAAATTTTTTATTATTTTTTTAATTCATTTAGTCTTTCACTCAGTTTTAAGTGTTTTTGAAGAGATCCAGTATTTGCCGAGCTCTTTGTCTAACCAAATCGTTTGCTTGGTGAAGTAACCAATTAAGCATAGAGGATTAGAGCATTTCCAGTTGTGAGACATAAATCTTGAAATAGAGCCTATGTTGGCATAAAACTTTGTTACACTTCCCGAATGAGAAAGTGTATTAATTAAAATAATACCGTTTGTCTGTTTTCCGGTCGAGAAAACGATCGTGAAATGGCAGTCGCGTTTAATGCAGTGGACGATAACAGACAGAACATATTTTTGACTTTTTTGTTTAATATTGTTGCAGTTTCCTTGAATTTTTCAACGTATCGTAAAGGAAAGTATTCGTACGTATAGAACAGTTTCTTGGTTTATTCGGTATTGCATTGGTTGGGTCCTCGCCTGTCTACACTACAGACGTTTTGAATTATTTGAAATCCTTAGTTTTATTATACAGATATGAAATTGGCAACAATGTTTATTGTTTATACTGTATTATCATTGTGTTTCCCTCCCAGATCGAAAGCGTTGCAATACTGATAGATAAATAAATATACACAGTGCCAGTCAGTGGTCTTATTTTACCGTTCAGTATAAAAATATCCAAGCTTTTACAGTATATATAAACTATAGTAAAACACACGTGACATTGGTATTGAATATTGTCTATTGAGTATTGTGTTTATTGAGTATTGACCAGGGGCGGATCTAGGATTTTTCGTACCTCAGTCAAACATTTTTGGCGGACGGGGCGTTGTCAGCGCGTGGCGTTGTCAGCGCTGGGCGTGGTCTCGACTGGGCGTGAAAAACGTATTTAGATTAAATTTAAATTGATAAACTCAAACGAACATTTGATTCTTATCCATTGTAAGAAAAACTACAAATGCACAAAGATATATTGAT